CCAAGGACGTTGCGGTTTCCGAACGCCGACTGCTGGTACGTTTCGTAGAAGCCCTGCAACAAATCCAATCAGTACAAAGATTAAGGGGCAAAGCATGCAGAATAAACTAACGCGTTGGTTATCAGCATGGCCGTAATCTTGCTGTCCAAACCCAGACAGGTGGGCACCTTGCTGGTGTTGGCCCTGACCGCCAAGCTGACCGAAGGCACCGTACGGTGTGTCCTGCGTCTGGCCCGCGGGCGGCGTTGGGGTGTGAAAGTACGGCGATGAAGCGGCGGGGGTTGGCTCGTTCCGGAAATAGTTCGAGTGCGCCGAAGTGGGTTGGTGCTGCGGGGTCGATTGTTGCTGGGACGGATCGATGTGGGTGGGGAGCCCGTGCTGTGCGTACTGGTGTTGGGCGTGCGATTGTTGGGGAAGATGCTGCTGCTGATGCTGCTGCTGTTGTTGTTGTTGCTGCTGCTGCTGCTGCTGTTGCTGCTGCTGTTGCAACTGCTGTTGCAGATGAGGAGGAATGTATCCTCCAGCCATGTGCTGCTGCATGTACGCTTGCTGCTGAGGCGTGAGCTGGTTAAGCTCTTGCTGCATAGCGGGCGATACCGGAGCCGGCTGGGCCAAGGCTTCTGCCAAGGGCACGACCTTCGGCGTTTGCGATAAAACGGGTTGCGAGACGGAGCTCGGCAGTGTATGTTGTGAAGGGACCTGAGGGGAAGTCTGCTGAGGGAGCCCTTGCTGGAAGAGCGCTGAGCCGAGTGATGCGGATGTAGGGGGCGGCACAGACGCCGGCGGAGGTTCGTGGTGCAGCTGGGCGGAGACTTGGGGTGGCGGGGGCGACTGCGACTGCGGCTCGGGGGCAGGCTCGGGTTCGGAACTTTATGGGGTGCTTAGACTTTGAATCTGACTAACTGACGGGAAGCACTTACGAGCTATCGAAAGAACTCTCCCCTCCAAGACTAAGACTTCCAAACTGCATGCCGACCTTTTCGATGCCGGAGCCGAATGAGCTGGGCATGACGACGGGCTGGTCGATCGTCTTGTAGCGAGCACTGCTCCGGTGGGAGGTCGAGGCTGGGCGAGCAGCACCAGCAGGTTTTAAGGACGGAGATGGAGAGGCGGCTGGCGGAGCTGGCTCAGGCTCTGACAAAGGAGCGACTGGTTCCTCGGAAGGTTCGGGAACTGGTGGTTCCTCGACCTCTGGCTCGGGGATCTGCTGCGATTCCGGTTTGGATTCTTCCGGTGGTTCATTCGCTGTGGAAGCCCAAACGTCGGCTGCGGATGTGGAGGGCTTGATGACAGGCGCCTCTTCCTCCCAGGCTTGAGGCTGAACGGTGGTCGGCTCCTCCCATCCGACTTCCTGTGATTCAGGCTCCGGTGCAGCGGGGGAAACAGTCGGAGGGGGTGCGATTGGGGCGGGGGCGGGAGGGGGCGGGGCGGGTTTTTCTTGGGGCCTATCTCGAGTTAGTTACGTGGCACCATACACCAAGAACTAAAACAAACCGTGCAATCTGAGCCCAAGACATTTTGGAAGTCATCGGGGTCTTTGACACTTTTGCCTGTGGCACAGCCGGAGACGAGGCAGCGGAACCGTTAACGTCGGTGTCGCCACCCCAGGTGGAGGTTGTGCTGGTGCCGCCCCAGGTCGAGGGAGTGGCCGTGGCGGAGGGTGTATCGGCCGTCTCTGCCCAGTTGGACGCTGGAGCTGGGTCAGACGAGTCGGTGCCCCAAGCGGCGGTCGTGTCGGGTGCCTTGTCCGTGGAGGGGGGGCCATCCGCCCAGGCGTTGGCGCTTGGTGAGTGTGCAGGAACGGCAGCGGCGTGGGTGTGGCCATTGGTCGGCGCCGCGCCGCCTCTGATCCCGCCGCGACTGCGCGGTGCAGCTCCGCCTCGTGTAGACCCGCCGCGACCGCCACGCGCGGCTCCCCGTCCGCCACGGAAGTCGCCACGCGAGGAAGAGAAGGACTCCTTGGAGACATGGGTCGGGGCGTGTCCCTTCTTGTCCTTTTTGCGCGTCACCGCCCCCCACTGCTCTGCATGGCCTGCGCGGCGTTAGAACGCTAGTAAGCAACAAAGGGTGTCATTACCTTCACTGATTCTAGTGGCGGCCAGCTCGACGTCGCCAGCGACTTCTGACAAGAGCGACTGGAGGTCTGACGGCGAAGGGTGAGGCGCGTCAAAAAAAATCGGCTGCGTGGAAAACACACCATCGTTTGACCAAGAGGGAAAGAGTTCTTGGAGCTGGCGGGCTTGTGTACGGTACTTTGTGTTGTCGGCGGTGGCTGCAGGCGCAGGGGCCCCGATGGCGGTTTTATAGGACATTTCAGCGCGAGATGGAAGGAGGGCGTGTGAGTACCCGTGTTAAATAAACACAGCCAAATATATGCCCCAATATAGGTCACAGCCCCTATTATCGTTCATCCGTGGACTCTAATTTATGACACCCAGGCGTCCATCTCATCATCATGTCCTTCACACAGTCCTCGCAACGAGAACAACCTTGAGTCAGCGCTGTGACGACTGCCTGAAATACATAAGTATGGCAATCTGGCAACATCACTGCCAGCAGCATCGCACATGCCAGTGTGGCGCTTTGAATGACGGTTGGGAGGCACCCAAAAAATGCTTGCTGGAGACGAGAAGGAAACCGGAGACCTGTCAGCCTGAGTGGTAGGTGCCGAACATGATTCTGTACTCAACTGACTTTGAACACCATTTGGCACGAACAAGGAGGATTGGGATACCCGGATTTTTTTAGTAAGTGCTGAGACCGACAAAATTGACGGAGACCGACAAATTTGGCGGGCATCAGAAACGCGTCTAAGTGGATTCATTGAAGAAACAAAAGGGCTCGATACGCATCTGCGCCGGAAGTAAAGACTTGAGGTAGGAAAATTTGTCGTTCAACACTGAATATTACGGGACGAAAATTACATCCGTCGCTGCATCTATTTTGTTTTCAGAAAGCGGCGAGTGCCAGCGCAGGAATCTTGAGAAGTTGTATGCCCCAAAAGTGTAATTGTGCCTACCTTGACATTCATGTACTTGCACTCCATTAACACCGTCTGATGCAAAGTCACAGGCTGTGTGTTATACACAATAGAGCCCGCCCCAAAGTGCAGAATTGGACCAACCATCTGGCAGATGGAGTCACGCTAGGGCAAGCTACATGGAAGAGAATGCAACTTACGCACGGAGAAAAAACATCGACCTCAAATCGCGCCGGATATGACTTCTCCACGTCGCCCGCAAAATTCGGGTACCACGCGACTTCAAAGCTTGTATAACGTCCCTGCCGTCAGGGAGCCGCGGGAGTCGCGGGATCCCGAGTATCGGTACAACGTCGGTGGCTGAAAAGCAAGAGGCGACGGCGCAGGGATCAAATTCCCTGTTTTGTTCCCTTCGAGATCCCCTCACTGGGTATTTACACCAAAGTATGCGAGACACGGTAGAGCATCCCGAAAAGAAAACAGCAAAGCCGTTACGTGGAAGCAGGTACTTACACAGCCAGACGTTCGGATGACTGAGGGGTAAATCAGAGAAATCAAACGCCGCTTGATTCGAATCATGAGCGACGCACATATTTGATTGACCTAGATTCAAAATATTTCTAACATGTGGAGCGCTAAATTCAAGTCAGCTCTCGCACATCGCTCTCGACGGGTAACCTATGTTCATTTCTTGGACCTGCTCTTCACACTATCTCGAGTCCCAGGCACGCGAGACTCGGCAGTTTCGTTGATGGCCACATGGCTGACCACCAAACACGTACGGCATTCCGTTTATGAATCATGTTGATGTCGCCTCTCTCTCTTAACCCCCACCATCGTCTTACCAAGTTCCCTTCGTCTTGCCCTTCCAATGGCTTTCCACTCCTTTATCACCTCAAGCAACCTCCTCAAGTTTCTCCGGACTGGGTTCATGCCATCTACAAGCCCTTCGCAAATGACCATCAAGAGTCAACTCGACCTCAAGTATTTCGTGCCTCGCAATCGGCGACCCTCAGACCCAATGCCTCCCCCATGTGCCCTCAAGTTGCCAAGACACTTTGTCGCCATACCGCACCGTTCTCCTTCTCAAGATTACCTTCAAAAACAGCCCTGTCCTCGCAATTCTTCTGACTCTGATCTTGTTACTGGGTCTTCTGGGTCAACGTCGACGGAAGGAGGTACATGGCGGGGGGGGATCGGCTTATCAGTGGTGTGGTGAGTTCCGATTCTGTTCTTCCGCTACTCGAGTACCACTAACACCATTTTCAGGAATCGGCTGTGATTTGCAATTCGTCAGACTGTGTCGCTTTACAGTATCAATATGTACACGTACACCTGAATAATGGCTTCTACATTCTACATTTTGTGAGCACGACACCAGTACGAGGAGCCTAAGCGACAGCCGGGCAGATCACACAGTGACAGAGCCGGGGCTAGACCGGGTCACGTGCCGCGTTGGGTTAACCGCCGCACAAAACCTTTTTGAACGTGGGTTAAACGGTCGATAATAGCCCAGGAGGCCTATATGCAAAGCTCACTCAAGGTTCAGTTTATTTTGCATCTGGGTCAAACTCCGTAGAAATAACTCTTGCTTAAAAAGTTGACCCTCCTGTGTAGTTGTCGAAAGGTTAACACAATTATGTAACAGAGAAGCGGGAAATTCCGATCGCTTCCCACGCCTTGAATTCAACTTGAACTTCAACCACCGGATTTTTACTGGACTTCAACCACCAGATTTTATTGGAACTATTCAACGACGCGAACATTCAGTTTGCTTTTTGACCGTTTCGGACTAGTTCCTGCTGAGAATGATGACACGCGATCTGGATACACGGTCCAAGACTCAAGTTCAGTCCCCGAGGCGGCCCATCTTGAAAAGAGTGATCCTGTTGCCCCTTTCTTCCCCAGCTCCTCGTTTCCTGCCCCGTAATGGATGAACGTCGATAAAATCACCTAGATCTTATGTTTCTTCTGTCCACGCCATGCAGCGGATTACATCAATTCAACCCAAGTTCAACATGGCCGCCTGGCGAAATGGTATCGCGTCTGACTACGACTTGCGATGCAGTAATACGTATCAGGAGATTGCAGGTCCGAGACCTGCGGTGGTCAATCTTTTGCTATTCTTACGGCGCAGAAATTCCTTCTTTTTGGTCTACAATGCATCCCTGTTGGAAAGAAAAACTGGGAAAAAATGATGGGGGGAAAAATGGCAAAAATCGACTAAGTCGAAAGGGGGAACGGACTTGTGTTTTTTCGCCTCGTTTGCGAGGATGAGGTGCAGCAGATCTGAAGAGCAGCTGAGAAGATGTTGGGTGGGGTAAATACCGTTTGTTTTGTTGAACGGTGAGAAAAAACTCGAATGCACTTCGCAAAGGGGTTGAATAGATCAGAAAACAATTGGTAAACAGCAGCTGTAACCGATGACGGTCTGAAAGCCGTGACTTGAGAGCCCTTGAAGTTTTTCCACCATGTGCTTCCACCATTGCGGGACGTGGCACACAGACTTGGATCCCATATTCCCCTCGCGCAAGACACGCTACACCATCGAATCATACATCGATTTCGTCTTGTTTTCTGCACAGTACTCGCACACCATAACGAAAACGTCCGTCCGCTCGGTCAAATACTGTCGCACCCGCGGACCGCCTGGCATGAGCTACCCCTTCCTCATCATTCGCCTACGCCACCCCGAATTCTGGAACTGCGGGAGCCTCATGAAGCTGGAGGGCGAGACGCTCCTAGTCGGCGTAGAGGCGCGGGGTGACTCTCCCGAAAGGAAGTGCTGCTTAACGATGGGGAAGGCCGACCAGTCGGTCCGCGCACTGGTGGGTACTTGGCGGTACCACACATTGGAGACAGTGTCGTTTCCCTACGAATCGCCGGAACTGGCGGAAATACTCACCCTTGTGGAGCTTGCGGACCAGCAAGATCGCACGCGCGAAGGCTTCCCTGAGGTCCTCTTCTTCGCGATCAAAAACCTCTTCGAATTTGGGAAAATTACAAGGGGTGTGAAGAATGGATCGACTGACGCGGCGCATCGAGACGAGGCGAAAATCGCTGTTGTCGACGCCTTCCCTGCACGGCGGGAGAAATATGTTTGCTTCGGCCGTGGCATTTTTCGCATCCTTGCTGTGAGTTGAAAATTTCCTTGGACACAAGCGTGCGAGCTAATTTCGCCTTTTTTTAAAGAAAGATCCCGAGGGACCGGACGCTGAGGCTGAGGAATTGGAAGCCGAGGATGAAATATCTGTGGAGTGTGCTCTCGAGGCTTGGATTCGGAGGGTGCTCTCACTATCCAGACAGATTTGGAGTGTGCTCGGGAACGAGTGAAATTCTTGGAGGAGAGAGTTTGTGCACTTACCGCCCTCAATGCCGCCAACACTTTGCAAGCTAATAATGTCTGAAGAAACATGGGTTGCTGTTGACGAAGGCGCTCAAACGCCCAACCTAATAACTGGGCAACGGGACGGGGGGAGACCATTTTCACATTATGATCATGTTGCGATTTAGATGTGCCGGCTTTTCCCCAGGATCGTGCTGAAGAAAGAAAATGCTTGAACTAGACTGAGAGAGCATAGACCTTGAGGTAGCCCTTCTCCATACAATACCGGCCGTTGTGCGGAATATCTTGCCGCATATTGCTGAGTTCAACTCGCATTACGTTACTTTCAAACTTGAACTCCCACGGTTCAACCTCAACCTCAACCATTCCGGATTTCCATTGGAACGAGTGCACAAGCGCTCCGCTCATGAGACTACTTGGATATCGATGACAACAAGAACGTTTAAGTCGGGCATCCCGGGCTCGTTCCCATTCAACGCAAGCGTATGTACTGAAGTTCGGCAAAGTGCGGCGCGGCGATCTTCGGCGTTCATGCCATCTTGACATGTAAGTCCCCGTTGTGTACACAGTCAAATGGCTATAAGTAACTCGTGTTCAATCGCGTTTGCCTGCTTTCCTTGTTTCCCCGCATCTTCTTCATGCAAAAAAAAAAAATTAGCTTGACGATGCCGATTTTGGAGCTCACCACCAACGTCAAGGTACTTTTCTTTTCCCAAGACGCATCCATTTCATTATTGATTGTGGACAAAAGGTTGCGGACCCGAAAGCGTTTTCCCTAGCGCTGAACAAGGTCCGTCCGCCCGTCCGCCGTGAGCACAGCTTGCTGAACGCTAACCCCGAGTAATGTAGGCAGCGGCGGCGGCGCTGGGGAAGGACGGCTACGTGACTGTGAGCTACACCTACAACGAGACCGTCACGTTCGCGGGGACCCACGAGCCTGCGTTCCTCCTCCGCGTCGTAAGCTCAAATCATTTCTCCCCAACGCACCCGCTCACGGTTTCAATTAAACCGCTGGCAGACGACGCTGGACAACGGGACCGAGAAGAACGAGGTGTTTAGCAAGACGCTATTTGCGCACCTGGAGGAGGCGCTCGGCGCGCCTGCGGATCGTGGATACATGTACGCCGGTTTGGCGATGTATGATGTCCCTGTCAGCTCATTTGGTTCCCAGCATCTTCAACGATCCCGGACGAATCAACCTTGGGTACGTCGTTTGACTTTGCGTGCATCCGTATTGTTGATTTTTGTGTCTTTGCATAGGTACAAGGGAACCACTTTTGCGACGCTCTTCAAGTAGCGGGATGCCGAATCTGTCTGTACTATAGTTGTAGCACAGCACACCAGAGAGTGGCTCTTGAACAAAATGAGAAGAAAGCCGAAGAGACGCAATTTGATTCAACAGCAGTCGCGAATGGTTTCGGACATTTTACTGTCCCGGATCAGGCATTATCGGAGAGCGCTGTCTGGAGAACGCAAAAGTGCGATCTGTTCAAAGCACGCCCGGCGGGTTTCGTAGTCCATGCAAGACGTCAAATCGTAAGACCAGCAACGAGAACGGTCGAAAAACAGTCATAGAACGGTTGAAATGCATGCTTGCAAGAGTCTCAACCAAGATTAGCTAAGATGGGCTCCGAGTCGGACCGCGATGAGTACCAAGTGACAGCTGACAAGATTGCGGTGCTTTGGCGGGAATGTTTTTAGCATGCTGGAACGAGGCATAATTAGGGCGGGGACCAAGCGGGGACTAGGATGTTGTGGTGGAAGACAAGTCTGTGCAATTTAATTTGATCGTTGCAGTTGTTTGGCTGGCCCGTCTCTCAGCTGAGCTATATGGCTCGACAGGTCTGAACGACTATCTCGCATTTCACGCAGGCAAGACAGTACAGGCTTGAGCCATGGCAGCCACTGCGAAACGGGGCAGGCCGCCCAATCTCACCTTCCAACCCCCGCCCAGAGCCCCCACCATCGAGCTCGAGTCGCCCCAGCCCCTGGAATTCGACGACGACGAAGGCCTTGACCTCGCCGCCGATACCGGGCTCGACTCCCCCGATCCCCTCTCCGACGAGGATGATCCAGACATTACAAAATCCCTGGAGCGTTTGGAAAAGTTGCGTCGAGATGTGAGTTCTTGTCATGCCAAGGTGCTCGTGACGGTTAACCTGTTCTCCATAGGTCCAGAAGAATCTTCGTCTGCGTCCTATACGCTCGAACGGCTCGCTGCCAAAGGTCCAGCTAGGCGACACGTCTCCCTGGGATCCATCCAACAGCCCGCAATCTAGCATCTCCTCGTACTTTACTCCCCATGGCGAGGGCCCTCTCAGCGCAAGATTCGTCGGTTCGACACCCCCACCTCCCGCTGCCCCTCGGATACCGCAGGCGATCGAGCCGGGAATGCTGTATCATCGGCTCTGTGCGCCCAGACGACCACTTTTGATCGATATCCGTCCTCCCGCTGCACATCACGCCTTCCACATCCGCCATAGCATCAACCTCGCGATACCCTCTCTCATCCTCAAGCGCTCCAAAAAGACTCCCTTCCAGTCCCTCGACGCTCTACGCCAGTATGTTACCACGGAGCAGGGAAAGCGCGACTGGGACATCCTCATGAGCCCGGGTGGGCCATGGGACGGCGACGTGGTTGTCTACGCCGAGGAGGAGGACAAGTCTCTTCTGCCTGTCGTAGGCCCGCTGCTGACGTACGGAGGCGTCGATTATCTCAAGGGTGGCATCTCGTCAGCGGGCCATCATCCCGATCTCGAGACGCTAATCCTGTCCGGCGGAGAGGCTGAAAGTCAGACAGGGCTATTCCAGCTCGACACCAATGCTGCACTCCGCTCCACAGCGCTCCCCGAGATCGACTCGCGCTCCTCCCTCGACATGTCCTCGTCGACCCTCGGCGCGTCCCTCGCGACTCTCAACCTCGGCCTCAACTCATCCCAACCACCCCGTTCCCCTCTTCCCCCACGATCCCCCATGCCGCCACCACGATCCCCTCTCCCTCTCATGTCCTCAGTGATGTCCACGCGGTCCGCTCAGCACGTAGATATCGTGGACGGATCGCCCTCCCCACCCCCCTCCCAAGCCGGCTTCCGTCGCCCCCCTCCCCCACCACGGCGCCCCTCTGCGCCCAATCTCCGGAAGCTCGACACCAAGTCCACAGAGCGTCTCAAGCTCTCGGTGCGCACCATGCCGGTCAAATCTGCAACAACCGCGCTCGCCCCGCCGTCCCCGCAGGCCACTTCCTCGTCGCCCTCGACGCCATGGAGCCTCTCCTCCCCCATCTCCGGCGAGTTCCCCACCGCGTACTTCACCCCGCCGCACACCCCCGGCACCCCCCGCGGCCCGGCCGGCTTCAGCTTTGCGCGGGGGTTCGGCGACCCTCCCGCGACCGCGCGCCCCGACGACCCACCCACGACCGAGGAGCCGTTCGCCGAGTTCGCGATCAGCACGATCCTGCCCAACTTCCTGTTCCTCGGGCCCGAGCTCACGACGCCCGAGCACGTCGCGGAGCTGCAGAGCCTCGGCGTGCGCCGCATCCTCAACATCGCGGCCGAGTGCGACGACGACCACGGGCTGCAGCTGCGCACGGTGTTTGAAAAGTACGTCAAGATCCCGATGCGCGACACGGTTGAGGAGGAGAACATCGCGCGCGGGGTGCGCGAGGTGTGCGAGATTCTGGGTAAGCTGAGCCGCTGCATTTCGCTTTCGCACGAGGACTGATTGCAACGCAGACGACGCGCGACTGCACTCCGCAGCGACGTATGTG